CATGCCGTCATTGCTTCTGGGTCCTGCAGTGGTGTGGACAGGGGTTTGCTCACACACCTAGAGCCCGTGGGCACCATGCTCTGCCCCCTGGATGTGCATGTGCACCTGAGGCCTGGAACAGGGCTCTCCTTGGGATCCTGGGGTTCCAACACCTCTGCTATGTTACCCTCTCCATGGTCAAGCAGCGATGCGAAGAGAGCTGTGCCCTTCTTCCAGTGTGCTCCCTTTCCACTCTCCTGCTGGTTGCTGTGCCCCCACCCACCCTGTCTGTGTCTCGGCCCAGCTTGGAGCCCAGCCTCAAGGGGACAGCGCCACAGCCATGCTCTCCTGACAGCGCCATGTGGCCTGTGGCCGGCCTCCTCCCAACCCCACCCCCGCCCTGCCAGCAGCCACCTGGCTCTGGTGGGTACAGCCTGGGCCCACCTGCAGTTGTCCTGGAGAAGCGCCTCGCAGTTGTTGCCATGGGTTGGTTTCCAGAGCCTCCCGGTGGCTGTTTTGGACAACGTTTTCCATTTGTCCCAGGGGAGAGGGTTCACCGTCTCCATCAGCAAGAGTCCTGCCTCGCTAGGGCATTAGACACATGTCACCGAGAGCCAGCAGCGTGCGCCCTGAGGCGTGGAACCGTGCAGTGGCTTTGTGTTTCCTGGGCACTGCCTTCTCGCATGCTGTCTCTCCTGGCTCAGACAGGCAGCTACAGGGCACCTCCACTTCTTCAGCCAGCACCCACAAGGGCCAGGCGCTGGCCTCTCCCTTCAGTCCTTTCAGAGGGCTCTGGTCTGCCAGGCCAGCCCGTGACCTGTGTGTCCTGGTCAACCGCACAGACCTGAGCAGGTGCTTCTCTTCCTCTCCTTGTAGGCGGAGCCAGCTCAGAACACGTGTGAGTGCCACGTCTGTAAGCAAGAAGCCTCCGGGCTGACTGCATTGGCAACGCCCGCGGGCGCTCTTCCTCCCGGCCACCAGTTCCTGAGCCCTGAGAAGCCCACCCATCCTGCCCTGCACCTCTACCCCCACATCCATGGACACGTGCCTCTGCACACCATCCCACACCTGCCTCGCCCTCTTATCCACCCCACCTTGTATGCTGCGCCCCCCTTCACACACAGTAAGGTAAGTCTGGTCAGGGGCCTCGCCAGCACCCCTCCCTTAGACCTTGCAGGGGGAGGCACCTCGGGCGACGGCAGCTGCTCCGGTGGGAGGCCTGCATGGGTGTCTTTTACACTAGGTGCTGCGCCCTGGGGACCCGGCCATGAGGGCTATGGTCCCAGACGTTGAGCATGGTCGGTCTGCTCAGCATAAACAGAGTGGAAGGGGCTTGTTGGGGATGCAGGGGTCACAGGCTACACTTAGGATACACCGTGCTATCCCATTCTCCCCTCACTTGGCCTTGGTCCCTCATTCCTGGGCCAAGGATGTGAGCGGTGTGCGAGTAGTAGGAAGCCGCTGAGGCTGGTGGGCTTTTGCAGGGTCATCAGCAACTGTCCCTCTGAGGGTGGACACTAGAGCTTTCAGAAACACACAGAACGGGCTAGGCCCTGTATTTCCTTTCTGAGGGTAGAGTCTACAGTCTCTGTTACAGTGTGGAGATGTTGGCATGCCCTGCTTGCCTGTGTGGGCCCGTTGGGGAGCCAAGTAGAAGAAACCCTGATGCGGTCCAGCTGACCAGGAGCAGGATGTCTGCCAGGCCCTAGTCGGTGCAAATGTGTACGCATCCGTGGCGTGCGTACGTGCATAGCCTTCTTCCGGAGGCCCCCCAGGCCAATGATCAGAGGCTTCAGCTTGCCAGCAGTGTCCCTCCCGGCTGTTCCTCTCCAACGAGTCTGCCCCAAGATTAGCACTGATTTCATCAAAGTAGAATTCCCCAAAACACTACCAACTATGATCCAACTCGCGGGACAAGAGCAGAGAACACCTCACGGAATGGAGGAAGCATCCTTGACGATGCTGTCGCCACCTTGCCCGTGGAGTGTGCCGCCCACACCTGCTGGGAGGTGCAGAGCCTGGTTGGCAGTAGAATATCATCAGTCTGCCACGTGGCTCTAGGAGTGATGACTGACTGTCCTGACTTACACTCAGACTGCTGCTCACGCCAACCCTTTATAGGAGGTCTGTTAATTAGACAGTTCTCCAGTCTGAATTTAAAGCTTGGCTTTTTTCGTGGGCTGCCTAACCTGTAGCCCATTTCCCTTGGGCCGGATATATCAGATGAGGATGCAGCCCATGCCTCCATCTTCCCCAAATACCAGGAGAGCTCTGTGCACTGGTCCGTAGGAGCTGCCTGAGCAGAGGGTACAGAGTGCTGTGTTACCCTCTCGCTGGGGTAGCCAGCAATGCCAGACTTGGCTTCCCCGTGATCTCGATGGAAAGGGGCCCTCACTGGTTTTTCCTTAAGAATCAGTCCTCTCCTCTGATCTCGGGCCTGTTCTCTGGAGGTTGTGGGCGGTCTGCCGCAGGGCGGGACTGTTTGAGGAGCTCCGGTGTCTCCCAACCCTGTCACGGCCCCATCGAATGTTGAGATGTGAGTGAGTCACAGGTAGGAAGGCCCGTTTGGGGCTCAGGCCACATTTGATGGAGGAATTGACCATTTTAAACCTGTTTGGGACTACTTTTCTGTGAGTGTTAATGTTCCCCAGTGTGTTTAGAAATACTTGAGGCAGGGAAGTCTTTGTTTGAGAAGAAGAGATTTATTCGTTTGTGTTAGCTGAGGTATGTGGCACCAAGCGCAAGGAGAGGACAGAGCCCTTCCAGAGACTAAAAGTCTTCCCTAGGATGGACCAGGGCGGGGGCAGGAGAACAGGTGGCATGTCCGGCAGCCAGCCCCAGGTGGAGGCCAGTACACAGGTGGCAGGGTGGCTGGCAGAGCTGGGTGCTGAACGTGGAGGCCCTCCCTTGGGGCGAGCACCTCTGGCCCCTCTGGCCACAGCTGTGTCTTTGTAGCCACCACTGCTCTGGAGTTTCTCTTCTGGGGAAACTTTAGTGTCCCCTTTAAGACTATCTCATGACAGGTGTGATTCATTTCATTCCCATGCTGGACACTGAGCATGTTTTTAATACCTAAAATGCTTGTAGCGAGCACTGTGAGCATTTTATTTTCTTGAAATTAAGGTACTTCTCAGCCTTTCTAATTTCAGCTTTCTTACTACCCATGGTTACCAGTGAGTTGGGCTGCAGTTACAGTCTCAGAAACTACCTGCCCACCAGGGTCCCTCTGAGTCAGCGCAGACTCCATGGCAGAGTTCATGGTAGCTTACACTTATGTGTTGTCTACTGGTATTTACAGTAGAGAAGTACCATACTAACTTAATGGGGGTGGGGCGGGGGGGAGAGAGAAGCAGTCTCATGGAAGTTGATTTCTAGATATTTGGGGTTGTTCCAGTTACCATATATCCTCATGTATAAGCTGAGGTTTTCAGCACTTTTTTAATGCAGTTTTTGTGGTAAAATTAGGTGCCTCGGATGATGTTCGGGTCAGCTTATATGTGAGTGTATATGGTACTTACTTGTGGTGTGGTTGTATTGTGGCCTGAGAAGAACATGCAGTGCCTGATTCACACACCCCCACCCCCTTTCTGACACAGACTTGCGGCCCAGCGTGCGGGCTCTCTTAGAGGACGCTCTGTGAGCTCAAGGACTCGGCGTGCTCCTTACATCTTGATCCCGGCACTTGCTTGTTCAGGGCGGGTCAGCATGCTGTAGCCGTCTGATTACTGGATCTGTCGGTTTCTGAGGGAACTGATTTTCCTGTGTGCGACGCCACCGCCGCTGCTGAGTGGATTCCTTTGTTGCTCCTCTCCATCTTTCTCCTTCGTCACTCATATGTTGATCCTCTGTTGCTAGGTGCATGCATGTTGCAGCTCTGTTGCTAGGTGCATGCTTCAGCATTTCTTTAGTCTAGGCTTATTTTTCTCTGTCCATTTTCTCTTCACCCACTCTGATCGCCTATTAAGTGGTATATTTAAACCAGTCATAAAGTTTTAAATTATTGATCGAGTGGATTAGTATCTGCCACGCCTGTAACTTCTCCATCCATTGCCCTCGCACTCTTTTCCTGCCCTCTCTGCATTTAGTTGAGCACCTACATGCGCCAGCCCCTTATTTTCTTTGACTTCGCTTATCAGTGGGACTTTTCAGAGGGTTTTCCGAGGTTGCTCTTGTGTATTTTGCGTTCACCTGAACTCACTTCTAAGCAGCGTTCCTCCACGTCGCACAGAGTGTACATACTTGGGTATGTCCACTTCATCTCACATCTCTTGTGAAGGAACCCTGGGTGGCGTGGTGAATTAGGCATCAGGCTGCAAACCACAAGGTCAGCAGTTCAAGTCCATCCACTGCTGCTTTGGAGAACAACGCGGCTCCTATAAATCTTTGCAGCCTCAGCCTAGTAAGCCGTTCTCCTCCTCCCTCAGCCTCGCTGTGAGTCAGAACAGAGTGGGCAGCAGCGCTGGGCCCCTGTGACGCGTCGCTGCCTTCCCTCTACCAGAGGCTGTGACCACACGCTCATGCATAAACCAGTGGTTTCCCACCTTCCTCGTGCTGCGACTCTTCATACAGTTCCTCATCTAGTGGTCACCCGAACCTTAGTTTTGTTGCTACTTTATAACTGCCATTTTGCTACTGTTATGAATCGGGTGACCCCTGTGAAAGGGTCGCTCGACCCCCAAAGGGGTCTCAACCCACAGGTTGAGAACCGCTCCTTCAAACGTCGTTTATGAGAAGAAAAGTCCGCTGTTTTATTTTGACTTTGAAGGATGGTTTCCCTCGATGACGAATTCCTGGTGCTGGTGGTTCCGACAGCAGTAAATGCACCTCACCTCACCCTGTCTTATGCATGAGTGCTCGGACGCGGCACCTGCTGTCGTCCTCGTCCGTGTTGCGTTGTGAGCAAGGCCTCGCCCTCAGTGGCTGCCTTCAAGATTTCCTCTCGGCCTTTGTCTCGGATCGATATGGACCTAGTTGTGCTTGGGGGTATTTATTCTGCTTGGTGTTCTCCAAGCCCCCTGTTTTGACGCCTGTCAGTAACTCTGGAAAACCCTTGGCCATCATTACTGCCAGTGTGGTTTCTGTTCTGCTCTCTCCTCACACGCAGAGCTCTGCTTGTAACATTGACCCACATGTCTTAGTTTGTTCCGGTTGGAGGTGGGAGCGCAGGGGCGTGGGGCGTGGTTAGATTTGGAGGGGTGGGGGTGGAGAAATTTGCTGATGACTCTCTTGCCCCAGCGGGGCCTTTCCCGAGGAGCTCCTCAGAGGTCCTCCCCAGTGCGCAGACTGGCTTTGTGTCCCAGCTTTTTCTTTTCATTCTTTCCTGGAATTTTTACCAGTCTGCTTTTCCCAGGAGAGGCCCTCATGTGTTCATCACCTTTAGGCTTCGTTTCCCACGTACTGAGCCCAACGCCGTCCCGGCCCTGTCTGCATCAGGCTCTGCTGCTTGCTTCCTCCGGCCCTTGACGTGACAGGCTGCTCCTTGTTGACAGCCAGATGGCATGTTTGAGGGAAGCAGGGTCTGATGATGTATGTTGATCCGCTCAAGTGGGCCTTGTTTAATCCTTGCTGAGGCTCTAGGGGCCCAGAGGCTTCCTATTTCTCTGTGGATTGTGAGTGTCTTCCCTCTTGTCTTGGGGTTCCTCTAGGGCCCTAGAGAACGTGCCTTCAGTATGAAGTGCCATTTCTCTCCTGCCCCTGCAGAGCCACCAGGGGATTCCCTGCCACACTGGCCTCTGGGGGTTCCCTCGACAACGGAGGCCCTGAGACGGCCGCTCCACAAGCCTGCCATTCTCACTCGATCTCCAGCAGCTGTGGGAGCTCCAGGACCTGGCCTGCCCGTGTAGCCCGCTTCACGCCTGCAGATAGTTGCCCGAGGGCTCTGCTCACAGTGGCTGTGCTCCAGCAAGCCCAGCTCTCGGATGCGGCCGGCTGTCTGCCCAGCTTTGCTGTAGTGGTGGGGCGGCCCCTTGCCGGTGTGTATCTCATGACCGGGCGCACCCCTCTTTCAGGCCCCTGTGTGAGCCGGGCACGGCGGTGTCGTGTGTGAGGGGGTGTGTGCGGTTATGTCAGAGGAGTCATTTAAAGCTAGCACCGACTTTCCTGTGAGGGGGTCTTTGTCAACATGGAGGACAGTTCAGAACTGCTCATCGAAGCTCCGGCTGTAAAGAGTGGAACTGCTATTCCAGTTCCATGACACAGTGTGCTGGAGAGACTCGTTGGGGTGACCCAAGAGTGCCCTCACTCGGGGCAGCCTGCTTCCCTCAAGGAGCCCCTCGGTGCTGTGGAGGTCAACTAGCACCGTGTCAGAAGCACTTAGAAAAATGCACCTTGTTGTCACTGACCTGCCTTTTGTCTCCCTCCCTGGGCTTCCTTTTTGAGCTAGCTGGGTTTTGAAGAGTGTAGTTACAAATTTTTTGCATCTTTAATTTATGTTTCTGGTAGGACCGTTTTATAGGCATATTCTTGTAGAACACACATGTCCCAGCAAACATTTATTGAACATCCAGTGTGTGCCAGCCCCGGTGCTCCGTGCTAGGCAAACAAGAAACCACCGCCTTGATCCCTGCAGCTGCAGGAATGTCAGACAGCAGTGACTGTCTCAGTAAGGTAGACAGCTAAAGCAGTGACACACACCACTGGGCACCAAAGAGGGAAAACGGGGAGGGGGGGTCCTGCCTGGCCAAGCCGCTGGAAGATCCCCAGCTGCCCACTGGGAGCTGTCCCATCAGCCGAAGCTGGGCAGCCTGGGAGCGCTGGCCCTGCCATGCCCAGCCCTTCACAACCGGCCAGCCGCACTCGGCCCATCACACCTGCTGGCCACTTCTGCCTTTTCTAAGAGGGACCCGTTCTGCCCCACCTATCAAGCCCACCCTACTCTGTAGAAGCTGCTGTCTATTGAAAACCCTTGTTGCTGTTTTCTTTACTCTTTCTTCCCCCTCCCAAAAAGCAAAACAAAACAAACACTGAAGTCGGGGAGCCTTGCGCTTGTCCTTAGAGCCACAGAAAGCGGGACACCTGGCTCTCCCTGCCCTAACGTCCCTCAGTGTTCATTCCAGGCTGACCTCATGGAGCCCTGCCCAGGCCGGGTGACCTAAACCGTCCCAGCCCCCAAGGCACCCCAGTGAGCACCCTGTCTTACTGGGCTTGAGCAGGCCTGGCTTTGTAGGAGTGCTCTGACTTGGCTGCGTGGAGCGCCTTCCTGTCCCAGGAACATGCTAGTGACGTGTCATGTGCGTTGTCTCTGTTCTGACAGCCACTGCTGAGGGGGCAGCTACCAGCTTTCAGGGGAGGAAGCTAACGCCCAGCCAGGTTGAGTCATGTGCCCAAGGTCACGCAGCTAGGAAACAGGCCATCGGGCTAGCATTCACGCCCCCACCTCTGCCCCACCTGCAGTCTACAGCTCCCCGGCCTGACCCCCAAGCACCATCATCCTGTGGCCCCGACCAAGTCATGCCATCACCTACCACACTGCCAGCCACACCCTCCCCACCCTCTCTGGGTTCCCAGCCCCTTCAGGACAAAAGGCACACATGGTCTCCTCCCCTTGGTCCCCACTCTGCCACCCCCACCCCTGCTGGCATATGCAGGACTCTGCTTTCTCCCACCCCGAGCCTGGGCCCTCTGCGCCCCATAAGATCTGACCCCGGGGGGCTTCCCCAGACCCCCCCCCCCAGAGTGTGTGGTGCTCACTGCTCACTCTGCCATCAGGGTGGGCCACGCCACCAGGGGCTGCTCATGCCACTGCATGTGGGTGCTCACCAGGGTGGGCATTCACTCATCCTGGCAGAAAATCAGCACCTGCTGAGGGATAGTGTGTGCCAGGCCAGCCACCTCTGTGACTGAGCTTGATCTGGAGAAGGAGCCAGGTAGCCCTGGGAGGCCTCCGAACAGGTGTGGGCTCCAGGGTGGGTGGTGAGGGGGAAGGTGGAGGCCAAAGCAGCTTCTAAGAGGCTGCGTGAGCCCAGCTTGGCTCCTAGACGGAGCAGGGAGCGTGGTGGGCAGGAGAGAGGTCTCACCAGTCCCACTGAAGACTGGGTTCATCTTCAGCACAGTAGGGGGCGACATGGCCATAGCCACCTTCACCGACGATTCCGCTGACCCGTGAGCGAGTAGGCTGGGAGGGCGCTCGGGTGCGGCCGGTGCTAAGGCGGGGCTGCCTCGCCCAAGTGGATGCTCAGCAGCCCCTGGGAGGCCAACAGACCGGGCCTGGCGCCTGGGGGTGCAGAGTGAGAGCAGCCCGACCGAGCAGGGAGCATTGAGGTGGCTGGTGGACCTTCCCTGGTCACCTTCCCTCGACGCTTCACCTCAGATCAGAGTCTGCTCAGCGGGCCTCGGCATACAGCCGGTCAGTCTGCAGCCCTCTGCCGTGCCTGCCCGAGGGGTCAGAGCAGAGGCTGAGAGCCTTTCCACGTTCACCCAGGACTCCCCAGATGAATTTGCAGCGAGGATCATTACACACGTCAGATGGAGCCTGCGCCCCTGGGCACGTCTGAGGACGGGGATGAGGGAGGAAGGCTAGCTGTCACTGAATTGCTGCGGCGTGACACTGAGCCATTGCTGCTCGTGGTATGTGCCGCACACCTTCTGTGTGTTGTCTTAGACACACCTGCAGCCGCACTTTGTGACCGCGCCCCAGGGCTCCTAGGAACCACGTGTCTGCTCATAGTGTAAGTACGTAGGTGCCGAGAATATGAAGTGTGACGATATGTGATTAGAACATTTTTTTTTGTAGGCTTTACCGCCAGCACCTGTTCAGAATCACACAAATAAGCATCAGGTATTCAATGCATCTCTTCAAGACCATATTTACCCGAGCTGTTTTGGGAACACTCCAGAGTGGAATAGTTCTAAATTTATAAGTCTCTGGGGATCAGAAGTGATGAATGATAAGAACTGGAACCCTGGCACTTTCTTGCCAGATACAATTTCTGGTAAGGAAATTTGTTAAAAATTTCTTCAAGTTTTAAAAGTAACCGAGCTGAGTAGACTACCCCTCCCCCCCCCCACCATTGTGGTCGTGATTGTGGTGCTGGTTGTCATTGTCACCCTCTAGCCAGTCAGAGCTGCCCGTCCTGGGGGGCAGCAGACCCGGCCCCCGGCTCCAGGAGGCACAGGAGGCCTCCTCCCAGGCCCTACTCACCCCCATTTACTCAGCTTCAGGGCTCCGGGGTTCTAAGCTGGGCTTTTGATGTGAATTTGCCTCTCAAGCAGTGGTAACAAGCAGACCCAGGCCCCATGCACAGGAGTTGGGTGCAGGGCCACAGGCAGTGTGACAATCTGACCTTCCGTCCCTCCCTCTCTCCTCCGATGCCTGCATTGGCCCTCCATGGGCTCTGTCCCTCCAGTGCCCCCTCCAGTACCACCACCCCCGCCCTCACTGGCGAGGTCCAGCGGTTAGCGCCATGGCCAGCACACTCCAGAGCAGGGCTGTCACCCACGCCTCTCCTGCTCATGTGGCCGGATCCCTCAGGCCCGCCCCTGCCTGAGCTCAGAACAAGTGGGGCTGGGTATCCAAATGTGTGCTCAGGATGGATTCCTAGTTGTGTGACCTTGGGCAAGTTGCTTAACCTCTCTGAGCCTCAGTTTCTTCATCTTTTTAGACTAGGAATAAATACCAACCTCAGAAGCAAGTTTTGAGACATTCAGTAAAATAGGGTTTTGCCAAGCACCAGGTACTGGTAGTAGTAGGTGCTTGATAAATGTATTTTCCTGGCTGGGAAGCGAGTGGGCCAGCACTGTCCCCGGAGTCCTCGCTTAGTGCCCAGCATGTGCTCTAGGTCTGCAGTAGGCGGACACCCTTCTCCTGGGAGCCTGACTTGTGCCTTTCTTCTCTGAAGGGGGCGACCTGCTAGGGCCTGCGCTCTCAGAGACCAGACCAGAAGCCCTCCCACCGCCGGCCAGTAATGACACACCCACGGTCGCGGATGGCAAGGAGAAAAAAAACGTGAAAAAGAAATGCTTGTACAATTTCCAAGAGGCCTTCATGGAAGCCAACAAAGTGGTTATGGCCACCTCGTCGGCCACGTCCTCCGTCTCCTGCACAGCCACCACCGTGCAGTCCAGCAACAGCCAGTTCAAGGTGTCATCCAAGAGGCCGCCATCCATAGGTAAGGCCACCCACCAACAGCTGGTGCCTTGTCAGGGGGCAGGAGGGTGGGGGGGCTCGCCTGCACAGTGTGGCGTTTGATGCTCTCAGTGGGGGAGTGTTTGTTGTAGCTCCCCTCAGGGCTCTGTCGTTGCTCTTTACTGGCTGTCCAGTGATGGGTGAGGCCGGGGTTGTAGTACCCCAAGGAGGCCTCGCTGGGAGCTGTTGGGATGGTAAGATGGGTCGTGGCCTCTGGATGAAGTTCGCAGTAAGGGCCCATGAGGAGGGTGCTGGAGGGAGGGAGAGTGGAGCACAGAGGCTGCCCCTGGCCACTGGTGGTGTCGGAGCATGAGACAGAGTCCACCGTGCGCAGCCACCAGGACCTTCCCTGCCCTCACTCTTAACGGGGGCCTGGGCTCCTCCAGACTGTGGCGGCGGCATTGTCAAGGGGAGCATGGCTGCATGGGGCTAGGCTGGGAAAGTGTTGGAGGACACTTGGGGTCTTGTGCTAGATGGGGTGCCAGCCCCGAGGCTGCGGGGCATCAGCATGTTCTCAGGTGCTCACAGGGTGGTGGGTGAGGAGTAATGACTTAGGACAATGCACAGGGGGCGGGGGGTGGAGGGGTGCTTCAGAAAGACTGGGGAGTTCCCTTCTTGTTCTACTCTGCTTCCCACACCCTTCTGAAGCCCTCTCAGGCGGTGAAGTATGAGCAGCCGTGTGTCAGGTCAGGCATGTGTCAGACAAAAATAATGACCCCCGAGGGCAACAGGCCAAGGCTTTGGGGGCTCAGCACGATTTCTCCGTGACCTGTAGGAGTGACCGTTTCCCCGAGGCTGCTTGGTGCACGTTTGATGTGAGGTGCCCGTGTAGGCCAGCCTTGCTACCATTCTCGTGGTGTTTCCCCGCAGGCGAGGTCTTCCATGGCCTTCCCAAGGAGGACCACAGGCCCCCGGGCCCGGCCGCGCCTCGAAGCAGCCCCACGGGGCTTACGCCGCTGCCCCCCCTCTCCCCTGCCGGCCTCTCGGCCTCCTCACCCCACCTGGCAAATCTCACGGCCCCCTCATTCCCCAAGACCGCTACCCCAGCTCCGGGCTTTGTGGACACAAGGAAGAGTTTCTGCCCGGCCCCTGTGGCGCCCCCGCCTCCCACCACCGATGGCTCTCTTAGCGCGCCCCCCAGTGTGTGCAGGTGAGCTTGTTGTCCTAGGGAGCTGTGCAGGAGGGGTGGGTGCTGTGGGTAGTGCCTGCGCACTGTGAGCTTGCTCTGTTTTGTGAGCGTGGTGCAGCAGCTAGAGAAGGTATGTTCTAAGAAGCAGCAGGTGCCCTGGCTGGGGGGGGCGGGGGGTACCTGTCAGGCACAGTGTGCGCACGCGCGCGCGTGTGTGTGTCTGTGTGTGTGTGTGTGTGTGTGTGTGTGTGTGTGTGCGCGCGCGCGCGCGCGCGTGCGCGTGTCTGTGTGTGTGGTTGGGGCTATTGCCGCCCAGACAGACTGCTTGCTCACCAGCTGTTATCCTCTGCAGTGACCCTGACTGCGAGGGGCACCGCTGTGAGAACGGGGTCTATGACCCGCAGCAGGATGACGGGGACGAGAGTGGGGACGAGGACAGCTGCTCTGAGCACAGCTCCAGCACCTCGACCTCCACCAACCAGAAGGAGGGCAAGTACTGTGACTGCTGCTACTGCGAGTTCTTCGGACACGGAGGGGTGAGTGTGCCCGCCAGGCTCCAGCGCCAGGCCCCCCTGGTGGTCTGCGAAGGGGACAAGGAAACACAGCACACCTCGTGGGTGAGGTGTGGGTGTGGAGGGGCAGCGTGCCGTGAGTGTACGCCTCACTCCTGCGGTGTCCGTGTGCAGGTCACGGAGCATGGATAGTCCTCCTCACTCCCCGCCTGCTCTGTAAGCTGTGCGCCACAGTCCTGCCCAGACACACCTGGGGCAGCCAGGGTGGAGGGCCCGGCCAGTGCGTCCCTCCCCGAAGAAGCTGGACAGGGCTGGCCTGCTCCTTGGTCTGTAGAAGTTAGCCGTCACGGGCTGGTGGGCAGTGGTGGACCGCCCAGCCTCACACATGTGAGGAAGGCGCGAGGCTTGTCGCCTTCCCCTGCCTGCTTTCCTGCTCTTGGCACATCCTCTGGGCGTCCTTGCAGCCTCCGTAGGAAATGGCTGGGCAGCAGAAGGAACCTTGTCCTGGCACTAACCAGAAACAAACCATCGGTGGGTGGAAGGCGCCATCGTGTGCACAGCCAAGCAGGTCGTGGGTACACGTACGGCTGCTCTGCCCATGACAAGACCCACTGTGGACACCGCTACTGCACATGGCCTGGCCTCGCAGGCCTGCACACGGCGGTGGGGTGGGTGAGGGCTGTCCAGAGCCGGCGGCAGGTGACTAGGTGACTGCACCCCCTTGTGCCTCTCTCCCCCTGGAGGGCATTAGTTGGTTGGCCTGGAAGGTGGGGAAGAGAGATGGGTCACTTCTGAAGGCCCATCTGCTGATGTTCCTATTTCACTGACTTAGCCTCCGGCGGCTCCAACAAGCAGGAATTACGCAGAAATGAGGGAAAAGCTTCGTCTACGCCTGACCAAGAGGAAAGAGGAGCAACCGAAGAAGGCAGACGCGGCCTCGGAACGGGAGAGTGTGGTCGACCACCGCAAGGTGGAGGACTTGCTGCAGTTTATAAACAGCTCCGAGAGCCGACCCGCCAGCAGCTCGCGGGCCGCCAAGCGAGCGCGACACAAGCAAAGAAAGGTGACCGTGCCATGCGGGGGGTCCGGGCGTCTGTCTGTCTGCACACTCTGGTGCTCAGGGGAGGCTGGGGTATCTGTGCATGCTGGTTCTCAGGGGAGGTCAGGCATCTGTCTGTGCATGCTGGTTCTCGGCGCCACATCTGAGGGAGATTGGTGTGTCTATGGACGCTGGTTCTCAGGGTGCCACATCTGCAGGGGGTCGGGGTGTCTCGATGCTGAATTCTCAGGTGCTGCATGTATGTATGTTGGGCAAGTCCGACCGCGAAGACTTGGAAGAGGTGAGGAAAGGAGGCGGGTCCTTTGCACAGTGGCTCCCCCTGACACAGGCTGAGGAGTCCCACCTGCTTCTGGGGTTCTGCCCATCTCTTCTCCTCAGAGCAGGGAAGGGCCAGGCAGAGGGAGCTCTGGGTTGCATAGGGGCATGGTCCTGAGGGCTGCAGAATACGATGGCCAGTCCCCTGGACAGCCCACACTTCCCCAGGGGCCTTCTGAGACCGGATGTGGTGGTCCAGTGTGGTGTCCTCAAGTCATGGCGTGGTGACTGGCCATGGCCTTTAGAAAGCCTCTGCTGGCCGGGAAGCTGTGCTCTTACTTCACGTGGTGCAGCCCGGACAGATAAGGACCACTCAAGCACCAGATGCACTAAAAGTCATTTTTTTGGGGGATTTCCCATCACACAGCTTCTCCTGGTCACTGCAGCCAAAAGATGGCTGAGACCCAGACCTCAGTGGGCAGATCAGTGTGATAACAATTGAAAGGGTGCTGGCTGTGGGGAGAAGAGAGGAGAGGGCCTTGTTAGCATGGGCAGCCACCCTGCTAGCGGTGCTGACCAGGAGTTGTCCTATGCAGGCCTGACTTTATGTCCTCCACATAGCTTCCAGCCTGACCACTTGTGGCTCTCAGACCGCCCAGGGCTTTGCTCGGCCCCAAGCCCCTAAGCTAGGCCTATAGCCAGCAGCTGCACCTACAGACCCTAACCTAGGTCTGCACCTGCAGCTGTTGTACCTGCTGCCAGCCTGTGGAGAGAAGACATGGGGTCGGGTGGGGGCGAACCCACAGGAATTCAGGGGCCTGCTCACCTGGCCTCTGTCATGTGGGGCTCCCTTGGGCTGACCAGGCTGAGCTTTTGAAACAAGTGCCATGGGCCCTCCCTGCACCCGCTGTCACCATGTCTCACTCTTCCTGGGTGCTCTCTCACTCGTACAACTTCTTAACGGCACCCTGACACTGTTTCTGAGCCCCCCACCTGTGGCTGGTTGGTGAGATCAAAGCAGAATCAGCTGTGGTGCTGCACAGCAGCAGCTTGCCCTGCAGGCCGGGGCCGGGGGAGGAAAGCATGGGGCTCTGCTGGGTGAGAAGTCTGAGGTGGGGACGGAGCTGGCCCCAGGGCCCATGCCAGCATCCCCCCAGCGGCTATGTCCCCGGGTGCCCTCTCCTATCTTAGAAGAGTGCAGAGTCGGTACTGTACGTGAGTCCACCTTTACAGCCACTGTCAGACGCCCTGTGGGCTGAGTGGCAGAGCCATGAAGGGCTCCCTCCTTCCTGTGACGTTGCTGCTCTCCCCGTCACGGCTCAGTGAGTTCCGCCCAGGAAAGGGGGGGGGGCGCATGTCCCTTGGGGCACGCTGGCCCTTGCTGACCCACTGAGCTGTAAAGAAAAGGTTTCCCTCTCATCCCTGCTGACGTCTCAGCAAGGTGTGTTTGCTGGGGTCTGGTGGCATGTGGTTGTCAACAAGCTGTGATGGGCACAGCCCAGTGACCACCTCATCTCACAGGTGGTCCTGCCTGCAGGGCAGGACCAGGACCATGGCCAGGGCCTCCAGGACAAAGCAGGTGCTTTACACAGTTGATGTGTGTGTGGATTGTGGTGGGAGTTGTGTGGGCCCCTAGTGAAACGATTCAATAAAAAAGAAAAGAAAAAGAACAGCCCATTCCCAAATGTGGTTCTAGCCACAGGCCTCCCACACCCCACGCCCAGTCTGTTCCGACTCACAGTGACTACGGGACAGGGCAGGTGTTGGTTCCACCACGGTTCCTGCAGCGGTCACTTGTCTGCAGCAAGCACCGCCGTCTTTCCCTGCAGAGCAGCTGAGGTTCCAACAAGTGCTCAACCCCTGTCACCCGGCCCTGGCCACAGGCAGGCAGAGAGGGACAGCTGGTGGTACAGGGCACAGCGCAGCTGACTGCAGGGTGGGGGCCTCGCAAGCATCTGGCCCCTGGCAGTCTGCTCATGCCCTGTGGTGTGAGAAGCTCTTGAAGGGTCCTGTGCCCTGTGTGCCTTTACCCGTAACCTGGCTCGCCGTGGTCCTCACTCTTGTCTTCTTGTCGCACTGACAGCTGGAGGAGAAAGCCCGACTGGAGGCCGAGGCCCGCGAGCGGGAGCACCTGCAGGTCCTGGAGGAGCAGCGGCGGCGGCAGCAGGAGGAGGAGGAACGGCTCAAGGAGGAGCTGCAGCGGCTGCGGGCCGTGAAGAAAAAGAAGAAGGAGCGGCCCAGTAAAGACTGCCCCAAGCTGGACCTGCTGGCAGGCAACTGTCAGGGCACCCCCGCACCTGTGCTGACCTCAGACCGCCTCCCCAACGGCTCCCTGGAGCCCCTGGAAGACCCGGAAACCTCCCTGGGCTCCCTGCCCAGACATGTGAACCAGCGTGCGGAGCCCCGGCCTGGGCTGGACGCAGGCGCCGGGGACGCCCAGCTCATGCCCCGCAGGGAGGTGAACGGCAAGCCCCAGGAGCCTCTGGCCTTCCTCTTTGACGTCCTGCGCGACCACAAGGAGGCGGGCGGCCGGACCAAGCTCAGGCCTGCCACCGGCAAGAAGTCCGGGGAGTGTCCCCGCGTCACCCCCACCCCCGAGCCTGCACCCAGAGCCAGACCGAAAGCCACTGACCTCACAGCCCTGGCGGAGCCGAAGCGAGAGGAGAGGAAAGTCAGCGGCGGCAGCAGCAAAAAGCAGCTGAACCACATGAAGGACGACAAGCCCACGGCGGGCCCCGCCCAGCCACCCTCGCCCACCCACTCCCCCAGCGAGTGCCCGCAGGACAGCAAGCCAGGCCTGGCTGAGTCTCCTCAGCCCAAGGGCAAGAGCAAGAAGAGCAAGAAGAAGAAAGGAGAGCGAGTCAGCAATTCAATTGGTAAACGCAGCACGGGCAGGGGGTGGGGGGGATGGGGAGCAGTGCCTGCATGGCACCCTCCACTGCCCACGCTCCTGCCGCTGTGCGCCTCTGTGTCGCTGTAGAACATGACCAAATGCGGTCGCGTTGTAACAGAAAACCCGCTTGCCCTCTGCCACCCAACACCGGCCTTCTCGCTACTCCTTCCACCCTCCCCATCCTCGAGCCTTTCTGTGCGTGTTCCTGATGGAGGCCGTTCTCCCAGAAAGCCTCAGCACATGAGAAGTGTTCGGGCAGACAGCCAGGTGGCCAGGCCTTCCCAGCTCTCTCCAGGGGGGTGAAGGGCCCTCACTGCAAAACAGACGCGGTGATCCTGGAATCAAAAGTGGTAGAGCGAAGGTGGGGGCGACTGGGCAGTGCTCCTTCTCTTGTGGCCTAGTTTGCCTCTGAGCCACATCCATACCAGCCACACCCTCCTGTCCATGCAAGGCTGCATTTGAGTGCAGCCACACCGTGTTCCTGCATGCTCCTCCCTCTGCGGTGGCCTGGGCAGGAATTGCCAACCAGTGGGCTTCTAACTTCTTGGTGGTGCCTTGCGCCCCATGACTGGTAACCCTTTGCTGAGGATGGGCTGTGGCAGCCCCTCCATGGGCAGGGGTGTTGTAGGAACTTGGGGAGCAGCACCCTCTAGGGCCTGACCTCCGGTGGCTGGACCTCTCCTTCAGGGCAGGTGGCGGCTTTCCTCCTGTGAGGACGTTGTCCCTGCATGTGCGTGTGTGTGCTGTCACGTACAGCCCTCTGCCGAGCCTCTCTCAGAGCTGATGCTCTCCTGGCCCCGCCCCATTGAGCCCCCTGGATGCCACGCCCCTTCCGGTCGCTCATGCAGAGGTCCCATGCTCACATACTCCTGCCCTTGGCCTTGCCTCTGCCTCTGCGCTGGAGGAAACACGGCCCTGTGCGGCTCTCCCCATTCCCTGCCGCGCTGCCCTGTGTTCTCTGAGGAGGCCTCGCCAGCAGGGTCCTGGGGCAAAGGGAAACGCACCTGCACTTGAGCTGCCTCGTGGGCAGACGCTGATCCAAGCCCCCTCTGCTCGCTGCAGCCTGCCGACCCAGTGCACACTAACACCCCCCCCCTTGCCGAGCGACCTCTGGTTTGTTACTGTCCATGTCTTGGAAATCTTCTGATCATAACTTCCTAAACGCTTTTTAATTGGGTGTTTGGTCATTTTCCTTCATGGTTTAAGAGTCCTTTATGCATTTGGGGTACCTGCTCTTTCCATTTTCACTGTGCGTACTTCAAAGAAAGACTAGCAATCTGCTCCCCCGAGGCCACAGCCTTGAAAGCCGTGAGCCCCGTCCTGGGTCGTTGCACAGAGCCTGGTTGTGCCCTAGGACTGCCCAGGTATATGATCAAACGTCTCCTAACAGGGAGAGCTTCGCTTGCCCCTTCTGCTTCCCAGCTGATTTGTTCCTGTTGCTGATGGGCTCTCCACGTTGAGAAGACCCTGGCTGACTCCCTGCCCCCCTGTGCGTTCCCGACTGTCGTCTTTGCTCCTTGGAGCTGCTGGTGGTTTAGAATTGCCGACCGTGCAGATTCCAGCCCAACTCGGAACCGCTGTACTCCGCCACTGTGCCCGCAGAGCTCCTGCGTGTCTGTTTCTGTGTGTTCTGTACTGTAGAGTCAGTCCACCTGACAACCCTGTGTGGGCATCAGCGGGAGGAACACTGCCTGGCCCTGCCCCAGCCTCACAGTCACTGAGACGTTGGAGCCCATTGCCATCTCCCTCCTGCTGGCTGCTGCTGATAGGTGCCGTGGAGCCGGCCCGCTCCTCACGCACCCTGTATGCAGTGCAGCAGACCTTTGCTGGGTTCTGGGCCATCCTCACAATTTTGAGCCCTGTCCGTCCATCGTGTCGAGGGTCTTCCTCTTTTTCGCTGCCCCTCCGTTTTATCAAGTATGATGGCCTCCAGGGACTGGTCTCCTGACAACATGTCCTTTTCCGTTTGTGCTCGGCTTACTTCACTTAGCATAATTTCCTCCAGTTCTTCCCATGCGGCAGTGTGCTTCATGCGTTCATCGCTGCTTTTTAGCGATGCGTAGTACTCCATTGTATGTGCCACAGTTTTTTAATCCACTCGTGAGTTGATGGAAATTTGGGTTGTTTCCAACTCCTTGCAGTTGTGAGCTGTGCCGTGATGAACATTGGAGCACAGATGTCTGGCTGTGGTTTGTTTCTTGCCTCTTCTGGGCATATGCCCAGCAGGGCAATTGCTGGGTTGTATGGTAGCTCGATTTCCATCTGTTTTAGAAATCGCCAAATCGCTCTCCCTAATGGCTGTCCATACCTACAGGTCCACCAGCAGTGGACCAGAGTTCCTATCTCACCACACCCCCTCCAACACTTGTTACTTTCTGATTTTTTTAATTGGGTTATCTTTGAGGGTGTTGGGTGGTATCTCGTTATTATTTTAATTTGCATTTCTCTTATGGCTAATGATTGTGAACATTTTCTCATATGTTTATTGGCCATTCGGATTTCTGCCCTTGTGAAACTTCTCTTCAGGCCCTTTGCCCACCTCCTCAGTGGGCAATTAATTTTTTTTCTTTTTGGAAGCTATCAGAGTATTGTAGAGTTTAGTAATAAGGCCGTTGTCTGATTTGTCATTGCTAAAGATGTTTTCCCAGTCTGTGGTGAATTCTTTGGATATACACAGGTGTTTTATCTTCAGTATATCTACTTGACAATTTGTGACTCATCTGTATCTGTGTCCTTCCCTATTTCTGATAGTCTGTGTATTCCCTGTGCCAAAGTTCTCAGGTTTGTCCCAATTCCCTCCTTGATGGCCCTAATAGTTTGGGGTTTAACTTCAAGGTCTGTGATCCACCTTGAGTTTATTCTTGTGCTTGGAGTGAAATAAGGGTCTTCCTTTTTCTGCAGGTATATGTCCATTTTCCCTAGTACCACTTGTTGAAGTGGGCATCTGCTTCCCATTTGATGTTTTTTGGGCCCTTATCAAAGATCAGTTGTTTGTATGCTGATGATTTTACTTCTGGGTTTTCAGTATCTGTCTGAGTAGCTGTTGTTATTTCAGTGCCATGTGGTTTTGACCACTGTGGCTGTATAATAGGTGCTAAAGTCAGGTAAAGCAAGCCCTCCCACTGTGTCCTCCTTCTTGAGGAGTTCTGTGCTAGTTCTGGGCTTCTTCCCTCTCCATATGAAGTTGGTAATCAGTTTTTCCATTTCTTTGAAGAAAGATGAGGGTAATTGTATCAGGATTGCACTAAACTTATATGGTGCCTTAGGCAGAACTGACATCTTTACCATATTGAGTCTTCCAATCGACAAGCATGGGATATTCTTCCATTTGTTGAGGTCGCTCTTGGTTCCTTGTAATAGTGTTCTGTAGTTTTCCTCATACAGATCTTTTGTTCTTTTAGTCGGGTATATCCCTAGATATTTCAATGTGTACTTGACTATTGTGAAGGGTACCTCCTTTTTGATCACCTCTTCCCTGGTCTTATCCAATGTGTATAGCAGTCCGATACACTCCTGTTTGTTGATCTTGTATCCTGCCACTGCCATATTCCTCTGTTGCTTTTAGTACTCCCCTTTGGAGCTTTTGGGATTTTCCGTATATAAAATCATATCATCTGTGAATAATGATAGTTTCACCACTTCTTTCCCCAGTCACCCAGTATAATTGTTGAGCTTGTGATTTCTTTTTTCATCTTTTGGAGCATTTGGTTGACATATTCAGCAGGTCTCTCATTCAAGATGCTTAGTGGTTGTCTTGAGTATTATATAGTGTCCCTCCTTATTTCTTTTTATGGTTTGCACTTTGAGGACAATTTTATCCGATTAGGATTGCAACCCCTGCTTTTTTTGAATTGCTCTTTGCTTGGCATGTTTTCCTCCAGTCTTTGATTCTCAGCCTGTTTTTGTCTGTAGCCTTGAGATGTGTCTCCTGTAGGCAGCAGATTGATGGGTTGTGTTTTCTAAGCCAGTCTGCTAGCCTCAGTCTTTTAATGCCTGAGTTCAGTCCATTGATATTCAGGCTTATTATCTCCATCTGTGCACTCTGTGATGTCATCTTATACCTTTGTGTGTGTGTGTGTGTGTGTCATTCTTCTCTCCATCCTTAGGCCAATGTTATCTTGGGGTCTGTTTTCTCTTTGTTACCCTCTGGGTGAGGTTGTTCTATGTGGCGGTCTTTTATTTATGTTTGGTGAGTGTTGTTCTTCTGCCCATACTGGGTTGGCAAGGATCTTTTGTAGGGGTGGGTTTCTTCTAACATATTCTTTGAGTTTTTCCTTGTCTGGGAAGACTCTTCTCCATCTATCTTGATCGATAATTTGGCTGAATAGAGTATTCTTGGGTTTTTGTTATTTTCCTTCAATTTTTGGAATTTGTTACTCCACTCTCTCCTCTTTTTCATAGTATCCACTGATAGGTCTGAGTATATTCTTAT